AAAAAAGAAAGGAATATTTAAGAATATTCTTAAAAAAGGAATAATATTTAAGAATATGCAATTAATTTCGACTTTTATGTTACATGTGTTCGTCATTTTGCTGAGGATCAAATAATAGCTTCTCGAGCGATCCGTGGAGGGAGGTAAGCCTCTTGTCCTTTTCGGAATAGGGAAAGTATATGCAGTCATCGGCTCCAGGGGAGACTATGTTGAACTTAGGGTCAAAAACGTCAATTCCGTGGACAACTCGGTACAAGCCGGGAAGGGTGAAAGACGCATGGCTTTCATATTGGCCCACAGTGCTCTTCCTGACAGTAAAGCAAGTAGCAATGCAAATCGAGTTATAAAGAAATTGCGAATTTGGTCATATTAAATTATTAAATCATTAAATTATGAAGGTATACCTGGAGTGATATAGCATTTTAAGTCCTATGATTTAAAATTGTGCTGCAATTCAAGTCGTTTGTCCATCAAAATTCTCAATTTAAATTTATATATCTGGGATGAATGAATTTTGATTAGTAATTTAAGTCCTCTAATTTAAAATTTTATTGCAATTTCAGTCCAAAAGTCCATATGAAAACTTTAAAAGGACTGATTTTGCAATAAAATATTAAATTACAGGACTTCAATTGCTATATGTCACTCCAGTGGAACCTAAATTGCTACCTTCACAATCTATTATCTAATAGGGCCAAAATTGCATTTTAGCCAAAAGCAGAACTGCTTAAAAATAGGAGTAACGGAAGTAACCGAGATATCAGGAAAGCAACAAATGAGTACTCACGTCCCGGCAATTTCTTGGTAAGTACTTGTGATTATGAAATCCGAATGGTTCATGGCCAGCAGGTCGGCTGTGAACTGACACGAGAAGTGGTATTTCTCATCGTATTTTTTCCAGTATATGTCGGAATCTGGATATTTCGTCTTCTCCAGAGCATGCGCAATAGTGCACTGAAAAAAATAAAATAAAATAAATTATGCCTTAAACATTGTAATTAAAACAAGCATGCTAAGTAATGGTATATTATAGGTATAATTTTTTTTTTTCACCTCAGTGACTCCCATTTTGTGAGATAATAAGGAAGCCACAAGGTTTCCATCACTATAGTTGCCGATAATTAGATCCGGNAGAAAAAATACGAAAAATTTACTTACCTCTGCAAACTTCTCCAGATATGGCCAAATATCGAACCTCGAAATCCATTTCCGAAGAACTCCGTGCTCGGTTCTAAAGGGAACGCGCAGAATATGTGAATACTCGCATCCACTTAACCTCTCCAATCGCTGGTTGCATGATGTGCCCACTGCATCCGGGATTAATCGAGTAACCTAAAAAAAAACAAAAGGGGAAGAAGAAAACGAAGCATGCTAAGCATTTACGAAAAAAAAAAAACGACAATAGAAAACGAACGAAAGGATAAAGTCACTTGAGCATACAATAAGAATACGAGGATTGATCTTCAGTCCTTGCTTCTTTATCCTTTGTAACATCTCGTTTTCCAAGGCACGAACTTGGTCCAGTATATATACAATCTGCACAACGAAAGAGATACCAACCGATGATCATATTTTTCCTTTCCGAATTTTATATTGTATGAGATTAGTAAAAGTTGACCATAAACTACATGAAAATTGATTTTTTATTTTTTATTTTTAAATTTTCCAGTGTTTAATTAGGAAATGACTACAATCCCGTCACAAAATTATTCCGTCAGTCAGTGTGTTTTAACCATAAATTATCTATCCTACACTAATCTACACATATCTACATGTGTATCTAAAGGCTAATAATAACCACAAAATCATTGTGTAGTGATTCCCCGTTTAATTATACAGAAGAGTTACGGGTTTCAGAAAATGATTACCTGACCACCAGTATCGGGCAAACCAAGTACATTCGCCTGCCCAAAATATCCGTGCACCGATAGAATGACGACATTAAAAACCATAGGCAATCGACCAAGAAACGTCTCTAGAGTAGATGGGTCGGGAGCATGAAGAATGTCCGAGAGCAAACGCATCATTTCCAAAACACGTCCAGCCGAGTCTCCCCATCCTCTCTCGAACCCCATCCCTTGCAACCTAAATGTTCACAAAAAATTATTTGTTACGAAAAAATTTATCATAAGCCAAAAGCATATATAAATATGTATGTAATCACAAAAAATTGCCATCGAGGCCTAACATGAATTATGGTTAATGACAAAATTATAAATCAAACTCACGTGTATTCAAACTCAGAGTAAGGCGTGTCTAGCGGAAGATTAGACACATAATCCTCGGCCTTAGCCAGTTGAGCCTCAAGCCTCGAGATTCGTTGAATTCGGTCGTTCAACATCAAAACCTACCAATGAAAAAAAAAATATTTAGCTTTCATCATTGAATCATCGAACGCTCCACATTTTCCTACCATTACCAGTCTTCTCACTCGAGAAAAATCGTATATCGGCAAAAACGGAGTAACAACTCAATTAAAGATCACAATATAAGCATTAATATGCATGCAAAAATTGAGCACTCACATGTCCTTTATGCCTGTGGACTCTAAGGAAATCGAGCAACGGCTCAAGAGATTCTTTGTTCCGGAACATAACCGAAGATAGATGACGGTTGAGAAATTGAACACCATTACCGATGGACGAAGAACGAGTCGGGCGGGGAAATGTCGCGTTGAATGGCTCGAAATCGAGCTCGAGCACAAAATGGTCCTCATGTCTATATAGCACAAAGTAGGTAAAAAAAAATAAAAAAAATAAAAAAAAAAACATGAGAAAATATTCCCTCATAGTTAAAAATTCTTAGGAGAATTACTCACTGGCCATCTACAAGATCTTCTTTGAAACGTAGATATTCAGCTACCGTCAACTCCTCAACGCTGAGTTCGTATACATTGACTCTAACAAACTCCCAAACTCCGGGTCTCGGCCGTATGGCTATCGCAACAAAAGGTGGTAAAATTATTGCTTCCTGCCAAAATTAACATCATAATTCAAATGAGAAAATGATCAAACTAATTAAACACATTTTTTTTTCAATCAGCAGTAAGTAGCTAGTTCCTAACTAATATGATAAAAATACACTATTAGGATCAAATTTAGCAAATTAAAACACCAACTCAATACCCAAAAAATGAAATGAACTTACAAAAAAGACTCCATCTATATCAAATCCACAATTTCATAACTCAATAATGTTAGCACACATAGCAAAAGCTAAAGAAATGAAAAAAAAATAAAATCAGAGTATGCACATATGCTGGTCGATTAGCCATAATTGTTTCAACAAAAATGCAACTTATGCATATCAACTAAAAAAAGTATTACAGTCTAACTATGTCTAATTAACTGTAGATCTGTCTAACAACAAATAATTAATTACCTGAGCGGACTTTAAGACTTCACCAAAAGGGCCATCACTGAGCTTTGTCTTTGATGAGTCATCACCGATGATGTTGTCCAGCTCATCAATCAAGTGATGAGGCTGCAATATACCTTTCCCCTGTGCCACATACCTGTGACCCAAAATTGATTTATTATTTGTTAAATCAAACCAAAATTCTGGAAAAAAAAACAAAAAAATGCAATAATTTGTGATTTTTATCTGTTTCCATCTAGATTTTTATTTTACTATTTTTATGTTAATTTTTGAAAGGGAAAATTTCGAGTTCGTGACCTGTAAAATCACACTATGAATTTTGTCTATTTTAATGATGAAATATAGAGATAAAATGAAATTGCAAATCAGACCCTTTTGTAAGAACAAAGAATAAATGTAAGAAATTGAGAGATAATTAATGGAAATAAATACCGGGAGAGGAGAGAGACGAGTTCATTGCGATGTGCAGTTAGAGTGTCTTCAACCCTCTCTCTCATGCTGGGTAATTTCATTAATTTTGGATTTGCCATTTTTTTTTTCTCGGTTTAATGTTTTAGAAAAATGGAAAATTAAACGCAGGAAAATAGAGGTGATGCTAAGTGAAATTTATATAGAGAATTGTCAAAAGAGAGAATGGATAGAGAGGAGAGAGAGAGAAAAGGTGGCGGTTCACGGATTGTTTATACTTTATAATATTATTTTTCCATTTTTATTTTTTTTTTCCACACTCTTCGACAACATTAGTTGTTGAGGAGATAAACTAGCTATGGACCGAGTCGCAGTCGATGAGGCCGTAATTTAATGAACACATGCCCTTTTTTCCATTTTTCTTTTTTCCCCACCATAATTCTTCCTCACACACTAAAAAAATTACATTTACTTAATAATTAAATAACTACATTCCCCTTTGTGTACGTCCATTGATGAGCTTATTTGGTAATTTAAACTTGCCAATTTTAAATATCTACAACAATTTAATGAAATGGAAAGTATGATTATGTATAACGATTTGCGATTTTGCTATGAAGTCAACAGTTCACTCTATAGTGGAGTCAACCTTCTATATACAACAAATAAACCTACTATATTCTCTGATTACTTAAATAACATTAATATAATTTTATTAATATGATAAGTTTATTTGTTGTCTATAAAAAGTTGGCTTCACTATGGAGCTAACTGTTGGCTTCATAGATCATGCTAATGATTCACATAAAATAAGATGTAATACACACTTGCTAGAGTCTTATAATTTTACATATCACATTAATTTTAAATTAATTATAATTTCAATACTTAGACATTATATCAAAAAATTATGTAAGAAAACATTAATTATTTCTTAGAGGAGTATAACTAAACAACTATAGGTATAGATTGACAGAAAAACAACCAATCAACAATCAACAAAAGTTGTGCTTGGAGGTAAAATGTTAATTGGCATCATAAAGCTGTTCTTATAAGAGTACTTAATTTTAATTGGATACTAAATAAATAATTAGTTCCTAGGACTAACTCGTAACTATTCCTATGAAACTAGTATACTATTATAAAACAAATAGTGATCTTAATTATCCAAATTGATTTAATGTTTCAAAGCTGGATTCCACCCTTGATATAATTAAATGATTAAAGTTTATTAGAGAATATCAGATCAGTGGAGTCTAATTAACGAGTAAATTTCACATCACCGAAATAAAGATAACAAAAACAAAGCAATCTAATGGTGATTTCCCACAGTTTCAAACGGGACAAAACAAAGGCTGGATTATAAAATTATTTGTGTCCTTCATAGTTCATACAGTGCTTGTTTTAGTATTTGGCTATTTGGATTTCCAATGTGCGGCCTTTTTTTCATTAACTATGTAACGGCAGCAGCAAGAGAATCGGTTCACGTCTCTAAAATTTCTTTTAGTTACTTTCTTTTTTTTTTTTTNTTAATTGAGACCAATCTTTGATGGGGTTCACTTTATGTTCTTAAAGAGTATTTTCAATGTTATGATTTATTTTTGGAAAGTCATTGGCACGTAAATAAAATGAACTTTATTTTTAACAAAGCTTCTGAAATAAAATTACTTTTAATTATGTGAATATAATGTGCCAAAAACATAACTAATTAATACAAATTAATTATAGCAATGTTTATTTTTATTCTCTTTCTTGCTTGTTTTATTTATTAATTTATCTATGACACATTGATTGACTAATGTTGATGAATTAACGACAAATAAATTTGTTACATTAGCTAATTATGCTTATTACCTTTGACTAAATATTGACTCACTACATAACATAACATAACATAAAGGGCGAGCTCAAAATTAAATAAGGTCAAAGGAGTCAACGACCGAAAAAAAAAATAGTCAAACCATGGTAAGGAGTACGGAAATTAAGGGGAGATTCAGATATATCCAACAAAAACCTCGAAATTCACTAGCGTTCACTAACAAAATTAACGAAGTAAAACCTCAAACAACTCTCCATCGCACAAATTACACGAGTTGGGTTTAAATTCCTCTGGTACAAAAAGGGCTACACATTCACACAAACACACACATAAAAAAAAAAAAAAAAANTTTATCATTATTATAAATCAATAAATTTCACTTTAAAGAACACATAAATATATTTATTTATTTCTTCGTGAAAACATAATAAAAAAACGCTGTTTTCCTGGTACAATATCATGACTAATTCCGTTGCAAGTTGTCGTGTTTTGGTCTCAAGGGCCAGCCTTGTGCTGTTGGGCGTAATCTGCTGTTTGGCGGTGCACGGAGTGGAATGCGGGCGCCTGAAATACGTGCGCCGGCCGGCCGTGGAAGTTGAGACGGTTTTTGACGTCATGCAACACGGGGCTAAGGCTGACGGCGAAACTGACGATGCAACGGTGAAATATTATGAAATATATACCCATTTACCTAATTAATTAATTGTTTTTATTTTTAGTTCCTTGTTTGGGGGTTTTATTTTTAGTTGAATTTAATTTTCGAAAGCAAAATTCCTTATGAATTACATTGCGTGCATGAGCCATGCACCTAATTGTGATTTCAATTTTGATTTTGTTGCTTTATAAATCTCTAGAGTTTTCTAAATCAATGTGTCACCTTTGATGATCCGTAATTATTTGTGTCGATTTCTTATTCTTCTTTAATTCTATATGTCAATTTTTGGTGGTTCATAATTGTCTACATAAATTTAGACGTCTATGGATCTCTCCATGCTCTTTTATATTTTCTTTTTATATTTTCATATATGATAAATCAAATCAATCATTTTTCAAGGAATATTGATTTGACATCTATACTGCATATATTTATAGGGAGATGCTACGGTCTCGTCACAGAACTATTCTGTCGGGATTTATAACCGTTAAATCAAGTATCCCTAACGGTTACATGATGAATTAAAAAGAATTATACATCAATATTAATTGAATAATCATAACATTATTTATCAACTAAATAAACATATNAAACATTTTAAAATAAAAAATAAAAAATCTCTTCCAATGTGATACACAAGTGTAGTATTTTGTTGAAGTAATCAGTTAATTAATTGGTTGTGTTTTTCTTCTTTTTGTTATTGTGCTGCAAAATATTAAAGGCATTCATCCAGGCCTGGAAAGCAGCGTGCGAGTCTAGCGGGCCCGCAAAGGTTTTGATAAAGGGTGAGTTCATGGTCGGTGAGGTGGTTTTCACGGGCCCGTGCCCGCAACCAATCACCATCGAGATTCAGGGAAACATCACGGCAAGCTCTGACCCGAGCTCCTACTCACATGGCGCTTGGATTATGGTCCAGCATGCCGAGAACGTCGAGGTCACTGGTGGCGGCACCATCAACGCCCACGGCAAGGACTTTTGGGGATTTTCCGGCGGCGACACTAGCGTCCTCCCCGTGGTAATTACCTAAATAGTTAGTCGATTTAAAATATATGTTTCGTTGGCTCCGAACGAGTTTAATTTAAGGTTTTTAATCCATGTGCCGAGAGAATGTAGAGCTGTTAAACGAGTTCACGAGGCGAGCTTGGCTTGTTTAAAGTTTTTTTAGTTAAGGAGCGAGCTAGGCTCAGCTCGATAAAAGATGATTTTGTTTTATATATATATATTTTATAGTTTGACTCGTTATAGTTCGAGTTCGCTTCGTTTATCAATATAAACGTTTACACCCGTGAGGCTAATTAACTGCATTTGTTGCATGTGCGGGTGGCACCAGTCGTTTGTATTCTAGGGAGTCCTAACTCGAGCTCGATTAAAGTTCATTTAGTTAACAAGTCGAGATCGGCTCAACTCAATAAGACTGGAAAAGAAGATTTTTATACACTTTTTGAAAAGATGATTTTTTTAGTAATTTCTTATAACTCGATTCGTTAATATTGATAAACGAGCAGAGCTCGAACTCGATTACTGACTTGTTAAGGGTTTGAGCTCAAGCTCGTTTACACTCCCGAGAGGGTAATTGACCATGTTTGTTGCATGCACGACCAGACGTTTGTATTTCAGGGACTCCGAGCTTGTTTGATAAACGAGTTGATCACTCGAGCTCAATTAAAGTTCATTTATTAAATGAGTCAAGCTCGGCTCAGCTCGATAAAACTCAAAAAGACGACTTTTTTCATATAATCCTTGGAAAGATGATTTTTTTAATTTATATATAATTTTCTATAATTTAGTTAGTTAAAACTCGAATTCAACTTGTTAAAACTCGAGCTTGGCTCGTTTACACACCAAAGAGGCTAATTGATCGTGTTTGTTGCATGCGCGATTTGGCGCCAGTCGTTTGTATTCCAAGCAGTCTCGAACTGCAAGTTGCACGATCTCAATTTCGTCGACAGCATGGGGTTCCACACGAAGGTAACCGATAGTCACGACGTGGCCGTGCACAACTTGAAGATCACGGCACCCGAGACGAGCCCCAACACGGACGGCCTCCACTTGAGCAACGCCACCAACATCGACATCACGGACTCCGTCATCGGGACTGGAGATGACTGCATTTCCATAGGCGAAGGCAGCAAAAATGTCACCGTTACTGGAATCACGTGCGGTCCCGGACACGGAATAAGGTAATGTTCAATATTGCAAAGCAAAAAGAAAAAAACAGCAGAAATGCAATTTTAGTCCTATTAGGTTTAACGTCATATCAATTTTAGTCTAAATGTTCCATTTTTCGTGTTTTGGTCCTGTGATTTAATATTTTGTTGCAATTTCAGTCATTTGAAGACTGAAATTACTAATAAAAAATTCACTCCAAATATATAAATTTGGGAATTTGTTGCAATTTGACTGAAATTGCAACAAAATATTAATCAGTTGACCTAATTAAAGGAGAAATGTTAGAATCTCGGGACTAAATTGATATGGCGTTAAACCAACATGATTAACAATGCAATTTAGCCAAAAAAAAGAAAAATGTTGTTTCTCAACGAATGTAAAATCATGGGAAAAAAAAAGT